TAGAAATATTCCTTTTCTACAGAGATCTTTTCCAATAAGAATTCTTAAGTAGTCACAAACCTTGTTGAAGTCTTAAGCATATGTACCTTTCAAAATGATCTTCACTCTTATCCTAGATGAGAATCTATAATGTTCTGGATATTTTACAAATAAGCCTATAAACTTTTTAACTCCCTGTGCAACCTTGTGTACTGGTTTTTATCTTATCAGCTGTAATCCTGTCCAGCGTACCCGGTAACAGCCCTCTGATCTCATTGAGTTCCTTGGCAACCCTTTGAGATGTAACTTCAGAAAACACCAAGATCTTTTGTAAGGCTATGGCAAAAAAGACTTAAGCCCATCTCCCTCCTGAGACGCTCATACCTACGCTTAGGTTTATCCTGTTCTTTCCATTAACCCTTCTACGTTAAAAATCGCTTCGTAATGAACCTCAACTCTTTCTCAGACTGGCATGTCCTGAAATGTTTCTGCAGTGAAGTCAAGGATCCCAGCTTCACCTCAGTGAGTAGTGGGCTCTGAAAGGAATTCCTCCTGTCGTTGCAGGTGGCATCATGCAGCTGTGTCTCCTGGCTCACTCCCACTCCTGTTGTCAATAAGACCGTTCAAAAACACAGATGCTAGCCTGAGGTATTTCAGGGGTTAGAGCATGGGCCTAGCACGCATGCGGCCCCCTAATTTAATCCCAGGGATTCTCCAACATCACCTAAGGTTATTGGGTGGGAAATAACTGAAACGATAATTCTTGAAGTAGTTGCCTGCATATAATGTTAGATAGGGATAGAGGCCTCTGGAATAGGCGTTTTTCCTCAGAACATTTAGGATGTAGACATTATCAGTGGAGACATTATGTTACAGCTATGTAAATTAGAGGCTGTAATCATTATGTTAATAAGACCCAGCTGATTTTATAATTGATCCCAAGCTAACAAAATGACAGTGGGATTTAGCAGTTTCAAGTATCAGCTATAGGCATACAGTCTGTGTGTGGCTATCTGCTCTACAGAACACTGAGAAAGCTTCTGAGTTTCCTTGTCGTCCATCCTCCAAGAGGGTCCAGTGATAGGCACCTTCTGCTGTTTATCAGGCTCTCCCCACGCCCTTGTATGGGGTTCTTCTGTACTGCTAATACCAAACACTAGAATTGATGTTGTGATGGCCACTTCTGAGAATAAATCATGGCAGGCACCAGGCCTTCCTGCTTAGCCCTTCTTGTGTGATTCCTTCTAGAGAATTCAACTGCCTTGCTGACTTCCGAGGATCTCATCAGGGAAACTTAGGTCTCTAGTTAAGCACAAGGTGAGGGACTTTGCATAAGATCCTCTATTTTCGGGTTAACTTTTCAGGTGATAGCCTCAGGAGAGACCCTAAACCAGTATCTCAAGGTGATCCACACCCAAATTCCTCACTCATAATCTAGGAGAGATAATGTCTGTTGCCTCAAGATTTGGAGAAATTCATTCTTCCTGAAGAAGTAACTTTTTTTTTTTTCCCAAATGGAAATGGCAATAGTACTGCTTTGCCCAAGAGTTCTCTTACGGATTAAATGAGAAACACTGGGAGACCCTCAGCCCAATTCAAGGCACAGAGTGAACACTTGCTGAGTATTGTTTCGTACTTGCACACTTCCACCGCAAACTGCTTCTGCGTTGTTTACAGCCACCTCCTCCTGGGGCCTCAGGACTTATCATTAAAAAGCACACCACACCAGCTCCGATCAGTCCCTGAAGGTTGTTATTCTTTGACCATTAACCAGGCAAACAATCTTGTCTCTCTGGGTTTCTGACCCCTTTTGAGAGGAGAGGAAACAATTTTCAAGGCAAAGACAAAGTTAAGGCACGTCCTATAGCTAGGGAAATGAAAGCCCGAGTTGTTGGCCAGAAAAAGACCAAGCGCTGATGACAGGATCACTCAGAAGGGCTGAGGACGGTCAACCGAGCTTTTACAGAGCAGTGTGTGTAGATATTGTCCTCAGACACACACAAAGCTTTCTTTCAGACTCATTTCTGTTCTTTCAACTGGGAATAGATCCTGGATTTTCTCAGGCAAACTGCATAGATGTTATCTGTTTTCTCTGGTTCCTCCTTTCTCCTCATATTTAGGTTTTCTTTTAATATGGGGGGCGGGTGGATGAGGAATGATGTTTTGCATGAATTAAAAGACGGTATTAAGAAAATATACTGGGGAACAGACAAAGGAACAAAAGAAGAGGGATATTTCCATAATTAAACAGAGGAGTAAAGCTATTTGACAACTGAATATCTCAAACATCACACTAAAAAGCGAAGTAATCACAAATTATGAATGAAAATATTTCATTTCCACTTGGCTGTGAGCTATTCGATAGGTAACATGTTGATATGTTTTGCTGGTGATTCTTGGGAAACACAATGTACCATGTCTCTAACAAAACAAGTGAAAGTTTAAAGAAAAGCTTTACATGTGCTCCACATTTACCAAGCAGTGAAGCTTTTTGTTTTTGTTTTTTCCTAGAGAAGAGCAAGCTTCTCAGCTAACTTCTGACTTCAGGAAGCATTTTATCTTTACAAATAAAAAGACAATATGCTGAAGTTCCTCCACCCTTGTTCCCCGTGTTTACTACATCTGGTTCTGTTGACATCAGCATTTCATATGGAAACACTTGACCATATCGTAAGCTAGCCTCTCAGGGGAAGAATTTGGGTTTGCCCTTTTTGTCCAGTCCTTTTAGTTTTTTAATATCTTTGCTTTGTACACAGTCGAAGTCTCTTTTGTTTTCAATGAAATCTCCCTCGCCTCTTTTCTTTCTCCCTACTTCAAATCCTCTTTGTCTCTTTCATTCTACACTTCTCCCCTCCTATTTCTTCCTTGCCTGAGGTTGTGTGATGTTAAACCTTGGGCATGGGGTGGGGTGGGCAGACACCTCATCATCTCATCAAGATGAAGCTGGGTTCATCCCTGACAGTGTGGCACAGCCCAGGAAAGGTATTGCTGACCTAGTGGAAATGCTACATGCCTGGGCTCTCATCTCTGCCCCTTATGATAAGGTAAGAGTTGAAACAAGATGACTTTCATTTTCTATCTCAACACACAGGAAAATTCGCAAGTAGAGAGAAAGAGCAATGTAAGCGTAAACAAGCTACCAGGAAACCAGGTTTCTGCCAGGTCCCCAGGAGGCATTCTCGGCTACCCTCCCCCACACTTTCTCGAGGTTAACCAGTCACAAAAGTAGAATCATTCACATCTGAGTAGCTTCCAGCTCCCAAACTGTGAACTGTGCCTTGTTTGGGGCCCAGTTCCTTGCTTTCCCTTCCAGCTTTTTCTCCCACTATCAATCCCAGGAAACCAGGCATGCTAGAAACTCCCCCTCCCCTCCATATATTAAAGGGGACTGGAGAGATGGTTCAGCAGTGGGAGAGAGTGCTTGTTGCTCTTGGAGAGGGTCAGGGTTTAGTTCCCAGCACCTACAGGATGGCTCACAAGCATCTGTACTTTCAGTTCCGGGGAACCGGACTTCCACAGGCACCAAGTATCCAACTGATACCTGGAACAGGCAAACACTCATAGATAAAGTAAAATACATAATCTAAGTATATATAATTCTCCATAGCTTTCTGTCACCTAGGGATTAAAGCCCATTTCTTGCTTCTTGCTCCCACCTACACCTTCTTCTCTGGCCCTCAGACCTTTAGAATCCTAGAGCACAGAATATGATCGCTGTGTGTTGACACACGAGCCATGCATGTTTTCTTACTCTTCAGGCTTTTACAGATTCCCTAAGAGAACTCCTTCCGGTCCTTAGGGCAGCGTGCTCAGGCCTCTCTAGTTAAAACCCTAAGAGTCAGTGAAAGGAGACATGCAGGTCTCTCAAGAAGCCTTCTGCAGAGGAACATCCTTGATATTTTGTTTAGAGAAGAGATTGGATGCTGTCCATTGAAAAGGCAAAACGGGCCCTCCACAGTCTGCATACTCTAGCCAGTAGCATAGAAGTCTTATAGTTAATGGTAATTGGAGCAAGCCCTTTGGAAGGCAAGTTCAAGATGGATCCCTTTTCCATCTCGGATGGGCTTATCCATAGGCCGCAACCCCACTGGCTTCCCCTGAGGAAGTTCTATAGTTACAGTATTTCCTGGGAAGCTATGATGTCTCTGTTTTTCAGAAGAAAAGACAGCTTTGAGATTATTTGGTTCTAGGTATGGCTCATCTTTTCCTCACATTGATTTTTGAATGTTTTATTTAAATTTTACGTTTTTTTTATTTACTTAATGATAGGGTCCCATGTCTTACAGGTTGGCCCTCTCCAGTAGCTGAGGACAGCCTTGAACTTTGGATCTATCTTAGCTCTGAGACAACAGAACTACATTGACTAAAACAGAGGTAACCACTGATATCTCCATTCAGTATCATCAGCAGTGGGTTCAATTATTAACCTTTGGTACCTTTGCTCCATCATGGAATGGAATGCTTTTGATGGCTCTACATAGAAACTTTCAATTGTTGCCTGGAAATCTAAGATCACTTGACTACATTTCCACCCAGTGCGGTTGGTTCAAAATGTACACCGTGTGCCGTGAGCAATGCAGGATGGACCGCGAGAGAAGAGCCCAGGGAGGCCCGCGTTAGCTCTTCTCAGTGCTCCCATCCAACTGTGGGATCCCATTATCTGTTTTGTACTGAAGCTAAAGCAGAAGGTTCTGGCGAGCTGAAACGCATGCAGGTGTCTTTCAATGAAATAATCCAGTAGAAGCTGATTGATTCCAGCTTACTATGTCATGCGCAGTGGCAATTTAGTGCTGCAATGTTTCTAAAAAAAATGATCAAATAATTGCTTTTCTACAACCGAATCTTACAATTGACAACTCTCATCGCACCTGCAGAAAAAAAAGTCTGGATTTTCTTTCTTTCTTTCTTAATTTCTTTCTTTCTTTCTTTCTTTCTTTCTTTCTTTCTTTCTTTCTTTCTTTCTTTCTT